TAAAAAAGGAGGAACACATTTCTTTAGACATGGGAAAACTCATCCAAAGCAGAGGTTATAGTTTATATAGAGGAAATGGCCAGGTATCAGGGTGTTGAACCCCACTGATGACATTGTTGACTAATTTGATATGTAAGGAAGGAAGAGAGTCTTGCTGTGGTTATTTAGTTGTTCTATTGCCACTACATGAGCAAGAATGGTAAAGAAATGCCATTCATGTATCTAGACATGAAAATGCAAGCAATATGCAAAATCCTCAAAATTTTAAAAGAAAAGCTTTTAATATATTATATATTTTAACTGGTTTTGACTTTTTGTACAAAAAACTCTTTCTTACTCCACTCCACCTTTATCTGCAGGTATTTGTAGAGCACTTTAAATGAGTGCAATTTGTATGTTTGTTACTCCAAATGATCTGAGACTCACTATTCAGCAGTAATATTACTTAACGGTATTCCCAGTTTCTCTGCTGTATTCAAACCTGAAACGTACCATACTAGAACAAGTATTCAATGAAAGCCCTTAAATGCATATAAGGCACTGAGCAAAATCTCTTTTTCTTTAAAGATGTGCTTCAATTGCAACACATTATTTCTAAATGCAGGTAAAGCATGTAAAGATGTAAAATTTTCTGATAATGGTAATTAAAAGATACATGTTCATCCTCTAATATTGAAAATATCGACTAGGATATTGATAAGGTGTCAAATTATTTAGAATTTATGGTAAGACTTTAAATGAATTTTACAACATCTACTTCTTGATATAAAAATTGTGATTTATGAGAAAAGTGGCTGAGACTATTTTAGATCAAGGTTTAACAGTGAACAAAAGGTAGAGAATTTTTTGCTTGCACAACATTTTAATGATCTACTTTAAAAAAGAAGAAAGAAAAAAGGAAAAAAATAGGAAAAAAGAAAAGAAAGAAAGTAATTTTCCATGTCTGAAGCCTGATAATCTCTTCTACCTTCTTCCTGGAAGGTTGTTTTCCTTCTTGCTTAATTATGTTTGTTTCATATATGTGTAGAGCACTGCTTCAGAGTTATTAGGTATTGTATTAGGGCCAAATGTTGTCTTTTGTTTCAACCTACATATTTGAACACAAGTTATTGAATATTCAACATTGCTTAGGAAGAAGGAGACAAAATAAAGTAATAGCCAAGATTCAAACAGCCATTATACAGGTTACAAAGCCACCATCAAGACCCACATAAAAGCTAGTGAAGCCAAAAAGTTCATGAAGAAGAAGAGAGAAGCAAAGGCAATTTTCATCTATATTCTTTTAATATTAATTACATTAACTCAAAAAACCATGATTTCTGGGAGCATTTACTCTTACAAATACTGTACTTGCACCATCCAAAAGCTTCTGTTAAAATGATATAGTAGACTCAACCAGCAAAGATTGGGCTGAATATTTATATGATTATGATTCTGAATTTGTTTTTTAATAAGAATTGCTTTGAGGTAGGAAGTTCTTATTGAATAAATACCATAATTAGGTCTAATTTGATTGCTGAAACTATTTTAGCTTCTAGTCTATTGAGTACAATATGTCAAATAAAACCATGGATATTGCTTCCCGATTTGCACATGATGAAGTTTTGCATCATAATGTTTGAACTGTTCTGTAACACACCATGAAAATGTCTGCTCTACCAATTTTTACAAAAGGGCAGCAGTGACAGATGCACTGAAATAGAGAGTATGCTAACATAGCTTGATTAACTCTCAGGGATACATTCATACTACCAAATATAAAGCAGATCATAGTCCAGAATATCTTGTTTCAAGATACTATCTTTTGGCTGGCAGATGTTATCTGTTTAGCAGACTGAGGATCTCTCATATACTGTGCTAGAGCCCTATGCAAAATCAGAGTTATCCTGCAGAAAGAACAGCTACAAAATTCTAGAATTTTTCAACTGGTATGTATAGCTAGGAAAGGGGAAGAGGAGAAGGAAGTGAAAGGTGTAAGATGAAAATCATCTGGCCTTTGTTCTTTATGTAGCTGATGCTTAAAACATTTTCAGTGTAAGCATTTCTGTTGTACTAACATGACATAAAAGTAATTCCGCAGTAATTTTTCTGTTGAACCTTCTTAATGTTGCTTTGTGAAGAGAAATAAAATTCTGTGTTACTTCTTCAGAACATATACAAGGAGATAGAAAAGTTTGAGAAGTCTTTGACAGGAAATGTCTCTGCAGTACACAGCCATGTGACTGACAGGTAACATTTGGATACTAAATTGTTAAGAAAAGACAGGAAAATGAAGAGATCTAACAGCAGCCCTGCCCAGAAGGGCTTGGGGGTGCTGTGGGTGAGAGGCTGGACATGCCCTGGCCATGGCACTCCCAGCCCAGAGAGCCAAACGTGTCCTGGGCTGCATCCAGAGCCCCGTGGGCAGCAGGGCAGGGAGGGGATTCTGCCCCTCTGCTCTGCTCTGCTGAGACCCACCTGGAGCACTGCATCCAGAGCTGGGGTCCCTGCACAGGAGGGACAGGGACCTGCTGGAGTGAACCCAGAGAAGGGACACCAATTTTTTTAGGGGGCTGGAGCCCCTCTGCTATGAGGAAAGGCTGAGAGAAAGGGAATTGTTCAGCCTGGAGAACAAAAGGCTTCAGGGCTACATAACTGTGGCCTTACAGTACCTGAAGAGAGCCTACAAGGAGAGCAGCTATTTTTAAGAGCATGGAGTGACAGGGCAAGTGGGTATGGTTAGATATTAGGAAAAAATGATTACTGTGAGAGTGGTAAGGCACTGGATTGGGTTGCCCAGAGAAGTTTGGATGCGTAATCCCTAGAAGTGTTCAAGGCAGGTTGGATGGAATTCTGATCTACCTGGTCTAGTGAAAGGTATCCTTGGCCATGACAGTGGGGTATTTGCAGTTGCCTGTCATGAGACTTCGTTACTATCTTTTTTTTCTTCTCTTTTTTCTTTTTTCTTTCTTATTTTTTTATTGCTTGACTCTCAATGCCTTCCCACTTATTCCTGTGATTGCAGCTCTTCAAAGTGTGGGTACTTATAACAGGCTGCCTAGGCTCTTTGTTCTAGTCAGTAAGAAATAAGCGCTTCTCAGTGAAATTTGTCTTTATTTAAAACAGGTAAGATGAGTCACCTTTAGCAGTCTGATTCTCTTCATTGACAATATAGAGACCCCCACTGAGCTCAGCTATAGGTAACTGCTTCAGTGAGGTGAAATTTATCATTTGAAAGTGTCATCTGATGGGGAATACACAATCACCTCAAAGTTCAGCTCAGTTGGACCCATTAAGGCAGGAACATTACTTCCTTGTCTCAAAATGGCCACATTATGATGACTTTTCTAGTGTGCATTTTACTTGGCAGAGTTGAGTGTTTTGCTGTTATCTAGTTCCCAATAGTACTTTCAGGATTGCTTCGTCAAATTATAGATTTCTCTAAATCTCCAGGTTTCTTTTCTTCCACTTACTAAACAAAAACTGTTTGCCTTCATTAATATCCCTGAAGATATCCATAGATCCTGGAACTTTGATACAGGCCATGAGTTAATTAATAAAGAGTGTATTTTGAAAATACACTAATAAGACATTGCATGAAATGGATATAGACAAGTTAACAACTTTCACAACAACAAACTGTAGTGTCTACTCATAAAGTAATTTACAGATTTAAAACAGCTGCTTCTCACTAAATTGAATCACTGAACTTTGACTTGCCATGATCTGCAGTCCCTTACTCTGATGTCAGGATGTGTACCTTTGTCTTAGCCCCTGAAGTTTTTATTTCAGGTGTGATTCATGAGGTTCTGTAGCTATTCTAAATGACTACATGTTCATTCTGTTATTAGGTAATTTAAATGAAGTGATCTTCTAGTTAGGTCTTAAAGGATACTGACAAGGTATAATTCACATAAGAATATTTATGTTGAGCTTTATCCATAGTATGAATTTTCAGTTTTCAGTTATGCAAACATAATGAGAAGTTAGCTTTCATTAAGAATTATCTCATTCATCGGCTTTTGTTCAACTCTAGTTAAATTTTGTCGCAAATTAGCTAAAGACTTTTATGAGAAATTAATGAATTTATGAATAGACATAGAATTACACACAAAGAAGATATAGAGGTAGAAAATCTTCCCTCAATGATGCCAGCTTTTTATGTATTTATTATGCATGGATACACAGAAGATTTCAAACTCTCTTTCAAACTGATTACAGAAATTTAAAAAACATAACAGTTAAATAAAACTGAAGGGAAATATTTTTTCTGTGATTATGATTATTTATACCACATTTTGTTTCTGATCGGATAGGGTTGGAAAACTGTTCCCATTGGCTTTTTTCAGGATGTTTATGTTTGCATGTTAAACTCTGTAAATATCAACAAAGAAAACAGTATTTCTGATCAGAACTATGGTAAAATAAAGATACTTCTCTCCCACACACTGCTCAGTGGAAAAAGTCCTTAC